CCTTTTTTTTTATATAATAAAAAGCTATAAGATAAAAATTATTTTGAAATTCAAAGTAGATACGAAAAAAACGTGTTAAATTAAAAAACAGAGGGTCAAGTACGCGTAAACACACACTGTTAAAGAAGTCTTGTCTAAATGTTTCACATTGTTAGTAAAATTACAATTACAAAGTCAGACAAAGATTGTTTTATTACCATTGCCAGGCATAGTCAATTTACTATGATGAGCTTAGTAAATAAAATATTTATAGTATTAATTTTTTTAAATCTTGTTATAATAGTACTATGTTTACTGCAAAGCTTATGTACAATTTTTATTCACAAAACAATTCATTACTTTTTTAATAAAAACAATGAACATGTACAAATTGTCTCTTTATAATCATCCAAGATCGTATTCATAGAAATAATAGTCGTGTTAACACAATTTATCTTTTTTGTATCAAGTATCTTACAAAATTGAAGACTTCATCATAGCAGACATTGTAACTAGTGTAATAAATTTACTTTTTTAATTTTAAATGCACCAAAATCTGACTAGGTCTTTGTATGTTTAACATGCATTGTAGTTTTTATGAAATTTATAGTAATCAGGTACATCAATATGAGCAAAACAGTTGAAAGTATGATTTTCTAACACGCCCCCTTCCCCCCCGTCCTTAACGGTGATTAAACTTCTTAGGAATTAAGAATCAGGATTAAATATTCAGAGCGTGAAAAAATAAAAATCTACTACCATAAGACTTCTCTTTTCAGAAAATTGGAGGGTCTGATGAGTTTGTTGTTAAATGACAAACTTTTTAAGACGCAAGAACTTCTAATGCTTTTTACAGTGGTAATAACTGGTCCCAATGAATTGTTGGTCTTACTTAACTACAAAATCAGATTCTGTATTAAGAAAGTTTCTTTATGAGTTTCTCTAAGAAAATTATCTATATAATACTATCAATTATAGTATCGATTATACATAAAAGATCACTGAATCGAGTGCTGGCCAGATTAAGATCCCACATAGGTCAAAATCATTAGAAGCTTTAAAATTTAGCTGTTAGTATGAGCTGTTATAAAGTGGAGTAAGAAACAAGTTTTTTTTGTTCATTTTGAAGTAAACTTAACTGTCTAAGTACACACGTTTGCATACGAGTGCATACGTTTTGTGAATGATAGTTTTGTTTTTATGTCTCTAATATGTTTTGTGTAAAAGAATGAGTAGCAAAACATTCTAGTGAGACATTAGTCATAACGAGAAACAAGATAAATAGTGAGCAGGGAAAGTCACAGAAATAGTAGAGGTATATTCACTATCACAGCGTGTGATTTTTCAAAGTTTGAAGTAGTGTGGATTATATTATTTGTTTGTGATTATTTTTCTATGATATTCAAATTGCATGACAATTAATTTTAGATTTATAAGGTTGAGGTACTAATAAAATTGCTAAGTTAGATAATATAAAGAGATATTCTATATTTTGTAGTTAAGCACTTAAAACAATTAGTTTAAAACTAAATATAAAAGTAAGCAAAAATAAAATCATTGATTTAGATTGTTGATTATTAATTTTTTATCTTTAATTTATAAATTTCGTATAAAAACATGATAACACAAAAACTGGTAAAATAACATTAATTCTTAGAACAACCTCAAACTTGCATTATATTATTTTAGTCAAATGATAATTATTTATAGAATTTTAGGACGTTTAATAACAAATTTTTTTTTTTATTTAATTAAAATATAATATTATTATTNTATTTAATTAAAATATAATATTATTATTACTTTTTATAAAGTGTAATTAAAAAGTATTTGATTAATTAATACAAACAAAAAAATATGTAAGTTAAGTTAGTTAAATTATATTGATACTTATGATAATCTAAAATGTACGTGTTTAGTCGTAACAATCAAAATTCGTAGACCACCTCATGAGCGGTGGAAGAGCAACCTCGCAGCACGCTGAAAGTGGCAGCACACCGAGTTTACACAAAAATTCATCACATATTTACACATGCAAGCGTTGTTCAATTTCTTTCTTACCTCCATCCTTTTTCTCCTTTTTTTCAGTCGGTATATTTAATCGCTCTCGCGCCAACTCTCTTTATGTCTCTCTCCCTATGCTCTCATTAGCTAGACATCTCTCTCCTTCTTTATCATGCACCTATATCTCCATCTCTTTTGTGCTTATTAAGTGTCTTTGGGTCATAGGTCTCTCCCCCTCTCTTAATTGCTTACATAATTTTCTCTCTCTCTCTGTCTCTCTGTCTTTCCTGTCTTTTCAAGTAAGGTATAAGGGTGTTCGGGTTTTCTCACCGACCGAGCGGGGACCCGCGCCCTGCCATGCAACGTCGGTCGCTGCGCTCTCTTCCGGCTCCCCACCTCGTGCGTCACCGCACTCGGCCGGTAGGACTCACTCGTGTACGAGGGCTCAGTGAGGACAGTCGCACGCTACACCAGAGGACGAGAAGAAGAAGACGACGACTACACGCCGAAGCGACTATCCCTTGTGCCTTTTCTTTGTGTAAAGTGTTGTCCAGCATTTGTAAGCCCATACGAACCAATAAAGCAGTAAAAACAAACGTTTGGTCCTTCGAGCCGGATCCCGAGGAGAAGAGCAGCCAACGTCGCCGCTAGGGTGGTCACAGTCTGCGATTCGATTTACACAGCGTAATGTAAGTACAGTTTAAAGAAATGTTGTGTAATGGAGGTCGTCGTGGTCGACACAGCTCCCACGATTCGACACAGGTGTTGGCCGCGATGAAGTCGTGCCGCCATTAACGCTTGCCTTGCTGGCACTCGCGTTATCAACAGCGTGCACACGGTGGCTGCCGCGGTCGCCACAGAGCCCGCGGTCCAGCAGCTGTGCTCAGCCACGGCAGAGATAAGGCCGTACGGCTGTCGATGCGACGCTTTGTTCGACGCCATTCGAACGTCGGAAAGCGAGGCTTTCGCGGCCGCCATTGTTAGCCGCGATCAAGCGCTCGCGGTGTCCTCATCGGCCGTGGCCGCCATGGGGGCCTCGTGTCACGCGCGTCCGCCTCGCGCGGCAGAGCTGTTGCGCTTCGCTGGCGCGGGGGGTCGACACCGAGAGACAGGCTTCGAAGCTTGTGTTGCTTGCGTGCGCGTTGTCACGCGCGTTGTCTACGCACGTCCTTTCTGGCATCCTCGCCCTTTTGTGGTACCTCTCTCACACTCTTTCTCTTTCACTCTCCTTCTATCTGTTTTGTCTGCCATCGATGCGCCGTGCGTCGACAGCTGTGTCGCGTCTGGCGATGACATGGCCCTGCTGCTCATGGCCCGGAGGCAAGACATGCTTCGTGCAAACGTCAAGCTAGTGATCGCTTTTTCAGGTCGAACGACGACTGGACAAGCCTACTCGGCTCCCAGAGTGCCCTCGCCGGCGTCATCAGCCGGTTCGCACGGGACGTCGAGAAGATCGACCCCCCGAACTGGAGCCTAGGTCTCGTGGAAGTAAGGCTCAAGCTGCTCGACGGCTACTGGAACACATTCCAGGCCAATCACGTGAGTCTCCTGGAGTCACCGCCGCCCGAGAAGCTGGAGTTTCTTGACCAGATATACTCGACGGCAGTTTCGGACTATATTGCCTCTCGATCACGCCTCTACAATGCAAGAAACACCCTCACGCCTCTCCCTGGCCTGGGCGGCGCCGACCTGGACCGTCATAACTCGAGACACGGAGCCTACTTGCCCAAGATCGGCATCCCTTCCTTCTCGGGGAAGCGAGAGGATTGAAAAAGTTTCCGGGACCTCTTTCGCGCGCTCGTCCACGACGATAAACAGCTCACCGACGTGGAGAGGCTGTTTTATTTGAAATCCTTGGTGGACGGAGACGCCAAGGCCGCTCTTGACACCGTTCAGACCATCGGTGCCAATTATCCAACGGCTTGGGCCTTACTCGAAGCGCGTTTCGAGCACCGCCGTCTTCTCATCCATGATCATATCACGGCGCTCCGTAACATCAAGTCTCTGAAGGAAGAGTCAGCTCGAGGGCTTCAGGGTCTCCTCGTCACCCTGGAAAAACATCGAGATCAGCTGGAAGCTCTGGGTCGCCCTGTGTCTCAGTGGGACGACTGGATTGTCTCCTGCGCGATGACTGGCATGGATCCGACGACCTGGCGCGCGTGGGAGGAAGAGATCGAGTGACTGGAGATCGCTGGCACGGACGCCACGGCGGAAGTTGCCACTTTTGCTGTCTTGACGACTTTTCTTCGCCGACAGTGCCGCGCGCTCAGCTCCGTCAAGGCCTCTCGCCCTGCTCGTTCAGCCAACACGGCCAGCATGCGCTCTCCGGCCCCCCCGTTTCCTGGACGAAACTTTAGAGCCCTTGCCACCACTGGCTCGCTGCCGCCATGCCCGTCGTGCAGAGAGTCGCACTACCTGGGTCACTGCGCGCAATTTCAAGGCCTTGACGCGCAGGCCCGGCGACGCATGGTCTATCAAGGGCAGCTATGCTTTAACTGCCTGAGACCAGGCCACGCAGTAAAGTTCTGCCCTTTACGGTCCGTCTGCCAGCAGTGCAGGGAGCCCCACCACAGTCTGCTGCACGAGAGCAACCATCGGCGCAAGCCTGAATCGGATCAGTGTCCCTCTTCGCCCAAGAAGCCAAAAGTCGACCCCGCGGGCCTATCCGCCACCGACTCACAGCATCAGGGGCCTCCATCGTCCTGACTCGCCGTACTTCCGACCGCTCTTGTCCAGCTAATTGGTCCCACCGGCCGATGAGTCGCTGGTCGAGCTCTCCTTGATGCGTGCTCTGAGGTTACACTCATCTCCATCCGGTTGGCCCAGCAGCTCGGTGCATTGCTAGAAGTCAACGAGGCAAGCATTTATGGGGTTGGGGGAGGGTTGACCATCCCTTCAAGAACCCGAGCGCATCTACGCCTTGAAACTGGAGAGCATGCATAGTCAATCCACCTGACAGCGCTTTGCCTGCCACGGTCGGGCTCACCTCTCTGTCTGCCCCCTTGCACCCAGCCGTGATGAGACAGTGGCTTGATCTTGAGCCTCTGGCCGATCCAGCGTTTGGAACACCTCGCCGTGTAGACATTCTGCTTGGAGTCGACGTTTACCACCGCCTCATCGAACTAGGTTACATTCAGCATGACGAGCTCGTCGGACATCGCACGGCTCTTGGCTGGACTCTCGTCGGCCGTGCCCCTGGCCTGGGCTCGAATGCCCTCATCGCAGGCACAACTCTGCACACGAACACCCAGTCGCCCTGGGATCAAGAGCTGGCTGCGCAGCTCCAACGATTCTGGGAGATCGAGGAGGTGCCACATGTCAGCCGCCGAGCGCCTGAGGATGTGGAATGCGAGCGAATCTTCGCCGATTATTATTGCGCTGACGACGGGCGTTACATTGTGCGACTTTCGCTGAAGCATGACGCTGTGCGCCTCCTTGGTGACAGTCTGCAGGGCGCCACCGCTGGCTTACGCTCGTTGCATCGTCGGCTGCAGCGGACTCCTGAGACGGCTTCTGAGTACGCCCGGTTCATGGCAGAGTACATTGCCCTCAGTCATATGAAGCCCCTTACTGATGACCAACTCGCTGCATCGCACCGTCCAGTGCACTATATCTAACATCACGGCATTTGGCAGCACGGTGACCAAGGTCACAAACTGCGCGTTGTTTTCAACGCGTCGAGCCCGACTTCCAGTGGCTATAGCCTAAACGACGTGCTCCATGCTGGTCCTCGGCTCCAGACGGCTCTCCCCAGTGTGCTCCTGCGTTGGCGTCGTCACCGGATTGCGTTCTGTTCTGACGTTCGCATGATGTTCCGCCAGATCCTGATTGATGAACGCGATGTCGACCTGCAGTGCATTCTGTGGAGCTCCGACCCAAAGCAGCCACCTACGCACTACCAACTGCTCACCGTTACCTACGGTGCCTCGTGCTCCCCGTACCTGTCACTACGGGTTGTACAGCAGCTGTGCGAGGATGACGTCCGCTGCTGGCCTTAGGCCGTCCCAGTGGTGATGAACGATCGCTACGCTGATGACATCCTCTCCGGCGCTGATGACATCGGCTCGGCCAAGCGTCTGCGCGACCAGCTGATCGGACTTCTTCAAGCGGGCGGTTTTCCTCTGTGAAAGTGGGTTGCCAGCACGCCCGAGCTTCTCGAAGACCTTCCCGAAGACGTCCGCCTCCGTCCTACTTGGGATCAGCTCAGTGTTGAAGGCCTCGTCAGCGAACTGGGTGTGGGCTGGGACCCGCCCTCGGATTTCTTCCGTTTGACGCCGCCCGTTGTCGAATCTCAAACCACAAAGAGATTCATGCTCGCCGCGCTCGCAGGCTTGTTCGATCCGTGTGGCTGGCTTTCCCCGATTGTGTTGAACGCCAAGCTTTTACTGCAAGACCTGTGGCGCGCGCGCTTGGACTGGGACGAGAACGTACCATCCTCCATGACTCGCCGCTGGACCGCCTTCACCGCCGAGCTGCAGGCCATTTCCGGGTTCTCTCTGCCTCGTTGGATTGGTATGTCTCCGTCGTCGAATGTCCAGCTGCACGTGTTTTCTGACGCCAGTCGCCGTGCTATGGCCGCTGTTGTATTTTCGCGGCTGCGGTCTTAAGATGGGCCCGCTCTCTGCCACATTCTTCTCGCTCGTACTAAGCTTGCGCCCATCCGCGCGCTCAAGCCGATGACCGAGCCCGTCGCTCGCATGACCATCCCACGTCTAGAATTGCGAGTGGCTCTCATCGTTGCCAAGCTTCTTCGCTCAGCAGCCAGCGAGTTGGGAGTCGCGATCGAGCACTGCCACGCTTGGTGCGACTCTCAAATTGTGCTCCACTGGATACGCTCCGATCAGCCGGCCAACAACGTGCTCGTCGACAACTACGTCGCTCAGATCTAGGAGGTCCTGCCACCCAGTGCCTGGCGATACGTGCCGTCGCAATCGAATCCGGCCGACTTAGTCACCAGAAGTGCCGACATGAGTGGCCTCCGACAGCAGCCCCTGTGGTGGAGAGGCCCCACGTGGCTGGCCCAGGACGACAAGTCTTGGCCCCAGGAGACACTGCCTCCGCCTACGCCCACGCTCTCACTCTGCTGCGCCTTCCGCGCACCTGAATCGGACCTGCTGCAGCTCTTCTCGAGCTTGCGCGCCGTACTGGGCCTCATCGTGCGCATTCACCGATGGGTGCGACACCGCTTGCAGCGCATGCCCACCCGTTCTTTGCTTTCGCCGTTGACGCCGTCTGAGGTTCAGGACGCTTTTCTGGCCTGCGTTCGGTTGAGTCAATCGATGACGTTTGGGGATGAGTTGGCACTCCTGCGGAAGCATGAACGTGTTCTGAAACGGAGCCCTTTGATCTCTCTTGCCACCTTCCTCGATGCCAACGGTGTCCTGCGTGTTGGTGGGCGGCTCGGTCACTCATCGCTGTCTTACGAAGAGAAGCACCCTCCCATCCTCAGCGGAATATCGCCGCTCGCTCGACTCGTGGTCTCTTGGGCTCACCCACGCGCCCTCCACGGTGGATATCGCGTTACCAGCGCATACGTCTCCAGGCGTGCCTGGATTCTTGGCGGGCCACGCCGAATCAAGGCTCACATTAGAGGGTGCGTCATCTGTGCTCGGTTACAGGCGCGCTCTTCAAGCCAGTTGATGGCTCCGCTGCCCGCGTCTCGCGTCACGCCGTCTCGCGCTTTTGGTCGCACCGGAGTCGATTACGCCGGGCCCTTCTCCGTGCTTACATCGAAGGGACGGGGGATCCGGACCACAAAGGGCTACATCGCTGTCTTCGTGTGCATGACCACCAAAGCCGTGCATCTGGAGCTTGTCGGCGACCTTTCCGCGGCCAACTTCTTGGGTGCTCTCACCCGTTTCACCGGTCGTCGAGGCCGACCATCCGAGCTTTGGAGCGTCAACGCCACCTGCTTCCGTCGAGCTGATTTGGAGCTCCGCGAGGCGTTGCAGGGCGCAGAATTTAACTGGGACCTAGTCGCCGGGACTCTTGCCTCCCAGGGGGTTTTCTGGCAGTTCATTCCTCCTGGTGCGCCACATTTTGGAGGACTCTGGGAGGCCGCGGTCAAGTTGACCAAGAGCCATCCATGCCGTGTGCTCGGTTCTCGTCATCTAACGTATAAAGAGTTCTCTACGGTTCTCGTTGGAATTGAGGCCGTGTTGAATAGCCGCCCGTTGACGCCCTTGTCTGGCGATCCCTCTGACCTCGAAGTGCTCACGCCTGGACATTTCCTCATCGGGGCTCCCGTCGATTCCATCGTCGAAGCTACCCCCGCTGCAGAGAATTTGGACCCGCTCACGCACTGGGAGCTCATCAAGGCCGTTCGCGCCCAATTCTGGACGCGCTGGGGCCGTGAGTATCTAAATACTCTCCAACAGAGGCCGAAATGGAGCGCTGTCCGTCGGAACTTCGCGGTGGGGGACCTGGTGGTTCTTCTTGACCCTACGCTGCTACAGTCCAGCGGACGCTGGCCTCTGCGCCGTATCACCCACACACACCCTGGATCCGATGGACTAGTCCGTGCTGCTGCCGTCAAGATGGCCACCGGCGAATACGTGCGGCCCATTGTCAAGCTTGCGCGTCTCCCTGTGGCACCTGCGGACTCTAGCCTCCCTGCGACAGACGATCGAGATACTCCCCCGGCTTCGGCAGGCGGTGACTAGGATTTCGCTCTTGGATCAAGGCGGGCGGGATGTTCGGGTTTTCTCACCGACCGAGCGGGGACCCGCGCCCTGCGATGCAACGTTGGTCGCTGCGCTCTCTCCCGGCTCCCCACCTCGTGCGTCACCACGCTCGGCCGGTGGGACTCACTCGTGTACGAGGGCTCAGTGAGGACAGTCGCACGCCACACCAGAGAACGAGAAAAAGAAGACGATGACTACAGGCCGAAGCGATGATCCCTTGTGCCTTTTCTTTGTGTAAAGTCTTGTCTAGCATTTGTAAGCCCATACGAACCAATAAAGCAGTAAAAACAAACGAAGGGATTGACGGGTCTTGACGACTGCATCGGATGGGAGAATTAAAACAGAAGGGGGGTCTTGTGACTACTTTGGGTGGGCGTGCCAGGTTGGTTCCGAACTATCTGTCTATACAGAGCTGTCTACAGTTGTCAACTGCGATCTCAAGTATCTGGCATAGTTGAGTATTATATTCGTTCTACTGGCTTCTACATCCTTTCTCATTATTATCAAGCACACTGACATCTAGGATTCACTTTTTCCGGGTTAATTTCTCTCACGCTTTTCTTCACTTAATCATCATCGTCATCTGCATCATCTTCGAGAAGCTCGGCGTGCTGCGAGTACAGAACGGTGAAAATCTACTTCACGGATCGTGCGACGTTTGTCGATTCGTGAGTTTTTCGAGACACGTGCGGAAGTGCACGTATACGTTTTTTACACACAATACACAAGTACACACTCTTTATTGCAGGAAATTTATCTGAAAATTTATAGTTCCACCTGCCTCGATTGTATTTTCGTTAGTTTTTCTCCTCTTTGATTTTTCTCTTCAGAGTTTTTCCTTTGAGCAATGAAATATATCTTCGTTCGTGGCTCATAATCAGTGTATTTTTAATTTATTTTACCCAGTTTATTCCCATCCTCCGTTCAGATAAATTTAGCAAAATTGTTTTTTTTAGGTGGTTTTTAATTGATTATTTGTCAGTTGAGCAGTTTTCTTGTACCACGATCTCTCGTAGATTTATAAGTAACAAATTAGTTGACTTCGTCCAAATAGAAGCAGCCGACAGGGCAGCAGGACTCTTGCTAAAATTCAGTACGTTTCTTACGAAATGTTAGTTTTGCGCGGGACTTCATGACGAAATTAATGTTTCTTACATTTACTGCTCTTAAAATACAATCTGAACATCTTTGTCAGATTTCAGCCATAGTTTTTCTTAATATTGTTACCATTTACTTGGAATATTGTTAATTTCTACATAACATACGAAAATAGTTACTTTGTTGTCTGCTAAACCGTAGTAGAAAAGCTCCACTACGTTAGATGTTTACTGTATTATATATTTTTATTTCTAAGTAGGTCGTTCAATGACTTAAAAGCTACTTATATTGTTAGTAAATATGTAAAGCTAGGTCTTACTGTTATTCATCATAACAGTCTTATTTTTAGCCAAAAAAAATATTTTTAATCATTCCGGAATATTCAAAAGTACCTTAACAGGAGAAACTAGCATGTACAGCAACGTATCTTTAACTTTAATACGTCAAAATTAATTTTATCCAATTTATTTTTAAATTATACCCATTACAAAATAGTTTAGTTCCAGCACATGTAAAACCAGTTTTTGGTTGCAAGGGCTGCTAAAAAGTTTGGTTAACTGTGCATAAGCGATTGCATAGCAACAAGCTATTTGTGAGTAAATTGTCCAGCTGCTTAATTCTAGTAATATAAGAGTGGCGCACTATGTTAATACGAATAAAAAAGTCATTTATGCTCACAACTATCACAGCATGAGATATTTTTGCCAGTGTAAGATCCTTAGTACGAGCTTATCGATAGTATCAAATATTGAAAGTAATACTTTTATCAAAAGGTAAAATGGACAAGAATTATTTATGATATTTCCTTAATTATAGTTTTTATACCTTACGTGATCTGGAACTGAAGCAACTTGTTAATTGAATGTTGTAAAAATTCCCTATTTCAAATACTGTTTTTTTACGAAACTATCTTTATAAAGTCACAATAATTTTTTAAATGGGTGACAACATTTGTTTTAGATCAATAAAACGAAATAATTTTTATTGAGTATTCTAATGTCTTTTTTCCTAAATAGCTTGTAAAATAAGATCCCAAATAGGATCCCATGAAAATTTAAGACATACGTGACTGACATTTATTCCAAAGATGATTAAGATGTAGAAAATGAAAATAAATTACTATCCTAACAAACAGTTCAAACATAGCATTTTCTCTTTCTTCATTATTGTAATATCGGTAGACTAAAATTATCAACAAATATGTTTCCCCCTGCTTATTCCTTTGTAATGTTATTCTCAAAACATTTTGAGCAAGGACCCAAGTGCATCTGAAGAGAGGTGAATCACCTGCAAGTTACTCGTACCTGCTGCACAATGATAATTCATGTACTTTCACGCTGGCCTATGCTGACCAGAAATGAAAGAAAAATCTTTTTCTGTCACTATAGATGCAAAAGTTTTACTAGAAACAGTTGAACCGAATGGTAATATTAAATGTGAAAGTCATTTTGGATTAGGATTAAATAACTTAAAGTTAAATATTAGGATAGTTTAAAATTGATACATATAAATTAGCAAAAATAATAGTAAAAGCCAGAATCATCACACATACTTAGAAGAAAGCAGCACACACTTCACTACTAGCAAGCAACTACATTTCATATTAACTATGACAAGCCTGGTAAATAGCTTTATTAACTTTCAAGGGATTACCTGATTTTTACAGTTTAAGCTCGCAAGCTCATGACTTACCGAGTAACTCTTTTGCATTGCGACAATAATTTTATAAACATAGTGAAATAGTCTGATTTGTAATTTAGATAATTGCTTATACTTTTATAAATGTTAAAAAAAAAGAGAAAGTTAACCTTTCCTCTTTTCTTGACTCAGAGATGTCGAAAAAGAGAAAGTCTATATGCGTGCCTTTCAAGGGGTAACGGAATTTCTGATTCCCTAGGATACCACGAGCTGACTCCCTCTCCAACGAATAGCAGTGAAAAACATGGTGACTAAAATTTTACCAAAACTCGGTATTACTTTTGCAATATTATAAATACTTAAAACTACTGGTAAATATAATTATGTTAACTCGCGACAGGCAAAGTTGTATTATTTTCATCATTATTCTAACAACTTCAATCCTTATTATTATTTTTATTATTATTATTACAATTATTATTATTATTCTAATTTTTATTATTATTTTTATTACTATTATTATTATTATAATTGTAACTACCATTACAAATACTATAATTATTAGTTATTAAATTTTTTCTATTCTTCGTACACAGAACCGTACCCAGGCCACTCCAACACAATACGTACGTCAGAGTGCCTAACAGTGCCTCTGAATTGCATAATTTTGTAAGAGTCTATTTAACGGGCAGCTACCGAGACAAGTCGTTACATTCCATCAATCTGTTTTTTACCTTCGGTCCACAAGACAGTATCTAGGCTACTTTGGCAAAATACGTGCATCAAAAGCACGTCACAGCACTCCTTTTAGTGCATAGCTTGTTGAAGCTTTATCAAGTAGCCTTTATTTTGAGAAATTAAGTGAAGTAACTAATAATTTTACTTTATTCTGCACTTTTCAACTTAGGAATGAAAACCTAACCTCTTATTCTCTTTCCTTCAGTAGATTTTGGTAAGATTCGAGAGGTCGCGCACAGATGGATCTCCCAAGAGATGTCTCAGACCAGCAGGAGGAAGTTAGAGAAGTATTACCACAAGGTCTGGCGAAATGCAGTGAACAGAGAATACCAAGCGATACAAGATTACCAGTCGTACTTTTTCTAGCTAGTAGACCAACATTTGCTAAGAATTTTAATTGGTGCTCGACGCCAAAGCATGTACCTTCATCCCACCGTAGAGTTAAGCTACCTTTGAAAGAGACCAAGAAGCAGCCAAGTAAGCCCCGCATCATTAGCGACATTCTGCTACCCACCCACGTAGCAGTAAAATCAGCAAACGCCACTCCAGGTGCACAAACTGCAGCTTTATACAACCCAGAGCAACTTGCTATAACCAAAAAACTAGCAAACGTTAGGTGAGAGCTGAAGGTTTTAGGGAAATAATGGACCGCTTCGTTAAGTACGTGGGAGGAGTTTGAAAGGCAGCCTTCACCTCAACAGTTGCGGGCTGTATCAGAACTCCCCGTCCATCACACCAGGACAGTGATCTTCAAGTCAACCACAACAAGAGAATATTAAAAAACAAAAATTGGGACATGTATAAACCCTGTTTTGATCCAGTGCCCTACCCCAGACACCTGCGCATAGTACGTCACTAGTAATTTTTTTATAAACAAACGAGAAATTGTTTTACCAATAAAAAAAAAAAATGTTAGTAAAGTCATAAACAAATAGAAACCGTAGAAATAGAATTAAACAGTGACTGATTGTACTTTTATCAATTTTTAATACGTACAATTCACCCAAAATTTCTTTATATATATATGTAACAATTTGCAAACAAATAAAAATTTTAAAAAATACATCGATGCGTATAACATGAAAACAAAAAAAAATTTTCAACAAAATATTATTGTTAAGGGCTTAAGCACACATTATGCCCAAAAGTGGCCCCCCTAAAATTAAATGAGTTTGAAAAAGCCATGCTAAATTTACACTTTACGTCTGCTGGTCGAATTTTAAATGCATTAGAAATACAAGGTAACAGTACTTAAGTATACTTTGGACGTAGGGACTTATAAAAATAGAAAAAAAAGTCAATTTCCTAGATTGAACAATATGGTATCTCGATCTTGATTACGGTTGCATTACCCTGGTAACCTTCGAAGCCATTTCCAAGGTTTTAAGTAGACGGTTAAGAGCAACAGCGTATAGCTTAGAGTTTATGTGGCCCTTCTTCAGCCCACTTACATTTGCCAAATTCCATGGTTACTACATTAATTTAAAGCAAATTTATCAGTACAT